AAATGTTAGGGACGCTTTCTTTCAGTTGTAGTATACGGACCAGACCAGTCACTGTCAAAATGAGTGCAGTGTAGGTGTTTTTCGAGAGTCTCATTCCGTCCTTGAGTTTGATTTAGTTACTGTTTTGTTTATGCCGATCAAAACGGAGGGAGGTCAAGAGAATATAAAGTTCTTAACTAGTAATAGTCAAATAAATCCGGCTTCATCTGAAACAGCATTTGATAAGGCATGCCACACCGCTCATGCGTGTATGAAAGAATTTCTACCCACTAAGTACACACCCCGTCTAAGCTCTTTGTTATTTGCATAACACATCCATCAGAGATCATTCTCCAAGCAAGCCGAGCTGTATTTCGGGCATCATCTAACCCTGGAGAAAAACAGGAAAGTTAAATCTATTTTGATCAGCGAGCTTACCTGCGTTCTATTTACATATAGCCCCATCTCCTAAAGGCTTCTTCAGTATATACATTTCTGCAGCTTGTTTCATATCTCATTGACATTTTCACAAAAGGAAGGTAAGATATCAGAAAGAGAGCCATGCCAGTAAACTGGGCGCACATGTGAAGATTCAGAAAGGGCGGTAACATTTTTTAGAAAGAGAGACATCGCTGATGTGTTTGCATAGAACATGTCTCTTGCTGTTTGAGTCTAGATTCATTGAATTTTTTATTTCCGCAAGCGCTAAAAATTATGAAACTCTTTTTCGGAAAGCTCAGTGTAAAATCTAAGAAGCTACTCTTCTGTTCATGTTACGGTAGAACTTCTTTAAAATCAGTTTTATGAAATGTCTTTTTATAGTAACCGATATTTAACACTAATCCGCTCATGCAAGTAAAAGATTTTTAACTATTTTCTCGTTAACAAGAATTACAAGGTTAAAGGTGAAAGTTTTAAGATAACTACAACAAGGGAAAAGGTTAATGATAAGTACCTGAATGTTCTCTTCCGGAAAATTTGATTCCCAGATCTTGAAGAGCACCTGCCAATCCCTGAGGCTTACGACAGTAAAAATTCTGTCCAAAATGAGTAAAAGTTTTGGTTAGTGTATACATAATGAATACTTAAGATATATTCATCATGAGAGAGGATGGAATGCTTTCCGACTGAGTGTTGTAAAACAAAAACCAAAGTAATCTTAACAGCCGATCAGAACAAAGGAGAACGTCACAATAAGCTGACAAGAATTTAAAGAGAAAACGAGTACATTGGCTGAAGCGAGGGAAAAGGAGAGAGAGACCAAGAAAGTGATTCATCAGATTCTCTCCCCTGGAACATAGTCCTCCTCGGGTTGTGTTTTTAAACATTGAGAGCTTCTTTAGGGAAAGTCTTTGAGATAATGCAAGTGATAAGCCCCACAATAGCTCTGTCAAAAGTAAATGACCATTATCAATCAGTTGTAAATTTTTGTTTTTTACAGCTTACCCTATATGTTGCTCGGAGGTCAATCCAGCTCCTCATTGAATGAGGTGCTCTAAGCTGCTTCCTGTTACATTCATTCTTGAGACAAGTTCCCAAATCCCAGTCTTTATTCATATGAAAAAATGTGCAACAAAAAAAATAAAGGTATCTCAGTAGAAAGGTTCAGGAGTTACTGTGCACAAAATAAATTTCAGAAAGTGATATTAGCTCTGCCATGAAAATTATTTTGAAACAATTTTAAGTGCCGGGTTAATCTGCTGATCACCAGAACCTGGTCATATACTGCACCACGAGAACATGAAGATGGAAATCACATTCACCTGACCATGTAACAAATGTGCACCACTTAATCCAACAATCTGTACTGTTTTCTTGATCTTGTTTTTGTCCATCTTCACAAGGAAACTTGAATCCTTTTTTGTCCTTCATCTCTTGTAGCCAACGTCCAAACAGCATCAGACATGTGCCAATGGGAACACCACCATCCACTTGAGCCTACAGGAGATTTTCAAATGAGTCTATTTGTAAATATCTTTAAGGACTTGAAACATTGTCACAAAGTACATTTCAGTTGGAGAGCATTTAATCAAGCAATTTTTTGTTCATCAAGGGCCAAAAGGTGATTATTTTGACCAGAGTAACTGGCAACACTTTACAAGTAGCCAGCTGAACTCTGGCAGTCACTTGCTTGTTTTTAAATCCCTGCCCGCAGCTCTTAGTTTGTTTGCCTACTGAACAATGATCTAAGAAAAAACCAGAGGGTTGCAAACAGACTGCTTTTTCCATAAATTGAACAGTTGACAACATTTCTGAGAGAAACATTTAAAAAAAATCAGAATGCCTCTGACAGCATTAAAATGATGCTTTTCAGAACATACCTGAGTTATTCCTGTCAGCTCTTTGCAGAAATCACTCAGTTTTGTGTGCTCTTGAGGCTGTACATACATATGAAATTCAGACTCAATTTCTCCACTGTTTGTATTTAGCAGCACTGCAGGGAATTCAACTATACACCAAAAACAATTAAAATTGATGTAAAAGAATAAAAATCACTGTTTTTTAAGCATGTTTTAAGGTTTGGCACAATGAGCGCCAAAACTGTGCCTGGTCTGTGGACCCCCACACTACATACATGTATATGTATTCTTTTTTTCACATTCAAACAATTACATATGATTTATTTTCTAGCATCCATCACATGAAAACATCAAATCTTTTTTAATATGCAGGTCTTGTTTTGGCAACAAAACTGATACTTACTTATTTCTGGGGCATAATTCATTTTCTTGTCTTTCCAGCAAGTGGACTCAAAGTCGAGAACAATTAGGTATGAAAAGTATTGACCTGCTGCAGAAATAAGAAAGCCAGTTAGTGAAAAATGTACATATTTATCAATAAACTATCACAAAATTGAATATACGTTGCAATTGGACACCCAAATTACCCTACTGACCTGGGTTACTACGTCCTAAAATCTATGGTGATGAGACTTTGGAATGAAAAGTATTAATTTCTAAGTGATCACTTGTCGTTCAATTCTTTATTAAACTTATAATCAGTTAATTCATTTAACAAATCAATTGATAGGCAGGCAGAACTGATCGTCTGATTTTTAATTCCGAGATGTTATGGGTTGCTATGATCTATCAGTGAAAAGAAATTTTTTCTTTTCATTGTGAAACTGTAGTAAATTTCTCTTGAGGTTAACAGTGAGTTTAACTCACCGAAATAATTTTGATGTAATATACATGTATCTTTTGAGTAAAGTAGATGCTATACTTACGTTGTTTCATCTCCTTAGCGCGACATTTCTGTCGATCTGAGGACGAGGGTCCTTTCTTGACCAAACCTAAACTTCTAAAAAGATTCCATTGCTAGAAACTGACCGCAGAGTTAGGAAATAATTCATACCTGAAGTTAGAAGCAACTTCATGAACACATGAAACACCTTTACCTGGCTAATTCCTTTGCAGAAATTGAATTTGAAGATAATTGCTGTAGTGGCCTATTTTTCCCTGACATTTTTCGTCAGAAATGAGGGACGCAAACATCGAATAAAGTCAATTCATGCGACGGAACGACTGATCATCATGGCTGTTGTTTTCAAACTTCGCGCTTAATCGCGAGGCTACCTAGGAATTAAGTAAACACTCGGTAGTAGTCTCACGCGGCCACGCCTTTCAGATGAGAATCCAGATCCGCCTAGCGCCTTAGAAGCGCACACACAACCTCCCTAAACAATGACGTTATCATCATTTCCGCGATGATTGTCAAGATAACTTGAACAAGAGGTTGACAGATGGACAATAAGGGGAAAATTACGTCTTTCAGTTCGGTGTAAAATAAAATAGATAAACAATGAATTATTCAATCGGCAAAGTAGACAATTCAATTTGGTGAGTCTGTGATTAAATTAACTTTTTGTTGCAATGCAGCTATGGTTACAGAACACAAAAAAACCGAATATTTATATTTTCTTTAAAAGTCGGGCTCAAAACTTGATACTTAATAACACTAAAGTACGCTTTCTTTCCACCCTTCAGAAGCGGGCACCAACATCAACCATCAATTGTATTTCGTATCTTGAATTGTCTGTTTAAACAATACCACAAAACGCTTTAGTTCATTTAAAACAAGTGTAAATAGTTTAAGAACCACCTGGTGAGACGCTGACCTTCAAAATGATATCCTGGTATCTAAATCAGTTTTAATTTGATTGCAAGTAACCAGCCTTATGCTTGTATGTACATGAATGATAGAGTAGTACTGAAATGAAAACGATTCCTTGATAGTTTAAAAGGCATGGAACCAAAAAAAAAAAAAAAAATAGAAAAAACCATTAAAGGGTATTAACAGCTTCTTCTTTTAAACACCTGCTAACCATGTGATTTAAATCCCAACATTTACCGAAACCAACCAATGAAATTCCACTTTCAAACGCTTTAACGCGTAATACCAGTCGAGAAGTTTACCAAGACGCCAAATTGACAAGGAAAACAGGGCAGGGTTCTAAAGCGTGTTTTGATTCATACTTTCTGTTCTTGTCATCATTCTAGCTGACAAGAGGACTTTACTGTGCTGCGTACTAAAAAAAAAATTAATTTAAAGGCAGTTCAATGGCTGTTGGATTTGCCATCGCGACGTCTGCGTTTCTTGCAGCTTTTGGCAAATATTTCTCCAAGAGATGGTTCTTCTGGTTCATAGCTGCAGTCATTGCCACAATAGCTGGGATGCTCATGAACGCTGGAAACAAGAGGCCGGTAGACACTTCTAACAACGGACCCGGAGGACCAGCAAAGAGCAGCGATGCCTCTGCATCAGGCGGACAAGGGAAAGCCTAGTGTGGACAGTCTTTCATCCAATGGAAAAAATTCACGACTGACGATATTATACCTCTTGATTGGGCTATTGTCAGGGATACATCATCATGTTTTTCCAACGGAAGAATGTTGTTTGACAAATAATAACGAGGGGAAGGACATCTTACAGTTCTTATTACGAACAAATTTTTGTTTGGTCTTTAAACATTCGCTTGATGTGCACTAAAATGCGGAAGTATGATGTGACAGTTTTTTTTATGTCTGCACAATATTGTTTTAATGTATCGCAAACAAAATCTTTAAGTTACTTGTATTCGCCAAATTAAGAATAGTTAAGCTAATTAGCCAAAATAATTTTTGTAATTAATCCTGGTCACATTAAATGACAACTAGTAGCTGTATCTAAGCCGAACAACAGAGTTCTTAAATTCATTTATTTCATTTTGAAGTAATGCCTGGCCAACTTAGCGTATTATTGGCTGAGCAGACTGAAACTCTAACATAAGACGCTCCTGGCAAATCACGTGACATTTTCATTGCATCCGTTTTGTAAGAGGCCTAACCCCGCTCATTTAATCTGCTTAGCTCCTCGCGCGTTCACTGGAAAGTGTCTGTTCCTTCACCAAAACGCCCCCTTCAGATTAAATTTCCCATAAAGTTACCCTCATCTTGGGAAACCGTTCGAGGTGGACATCACCGCGCTAGATGCTAATTTCTATTTTCTCGTGAGTCAACTCAGTCGATCGCACTCAGCTAAAAAACCGCCTTAAATCTCACACCTCTCGGCTCTCTTTTATCGGCCTCTGGTAGTTGTGACTGAGATGAGAACGAGTTGGATTTTACAAATTTATTTCAAGACTACGAGGAAAAGCAATTTCTTTTACATGACTAACTTAACTGAATAAATTAAATTAAGTTATACTTACACACAAATGCCTTAAGTTTAGATCTAGCTACGTATCGCACCCCACTTCCTTCATAGGTTTATCATTAACAGTGGTTTCCAAATGGTCGCTGGAAACAGATTAGTAAGTTGTATCTATGGTTCGGTATCTTCTATCTCAGCCCTAGATAGCAGATCCAAATAGGGAAATAAAAACACCAGCGAACACACGAAATCAATTTCATGGACGGCCTAAGAATGAAACCCTGATTTCCGTTAGCTAAGTTTTTCCCGACAAGTAGCCAAGCAAAAATTTCCTTCAACAAAAGCCACTGACAAGTCATCTCGACTAGCAAATGACCACCGCGATGAGTTTTCTTAAGAAACGTGCCAGGTTTACGCGTGGAAAATTGGAGTAAAATTTCTCGTATTAGACACACCACAATTCCACGAAACACCTGTCAAGAAAACAGCTGCTTATGACATTGAGGCCTTGATGAATTATATATTTTAATCCTTTCTCCGAAGGAAGTCCAAATTTAAGCGCTGCATCATCAATACCATGCAACACAAGAATGGGATTTCATCTATAGAGGGAAAATCGTGATCAGGAAGAACTAAATTCATAAATATTAAACAAAAGTAGCATTTCTTCCACTGACAGTTTCAAAAATATTTACTATAAAATATCTCTGTTTATCTGAAATAGGTTCACTCGCACCTTGTTCGACAATTCTCGTAAAAACTGAAGAGTTTCCGACCTTCCTGTCCAGTCGACTTTGTAGATTCTGTTTTTGAAAAACCTCATTAAGAACCGAGGAGTCTTCGACCTTCGTGTCGAATCGACTCAGTATCTCCGGTTTTCAACAATTATAAAGAACAGAGGAGTTTCAGACTTTCTTGTCCAATCATGGAAAAACCCAGACAACGAATTATATTAATATTTCAGTTTGTACATTATTGTATTCAGAAGTTCATCAGTTTAGAACAGTGATTATTTACCCGACTGGATAATTGTGATACCTTTTGACAGTCAATGACAATTAAAATCTTGGCTTAAGTATATACAGTATTTAATTATGAAATACGTCTGCTTGAATTCCAATAATGAAGTGCTGTACACAAAGCTCCTAGTTCGAGTTTTTAACTTCTTGATTCTCCACCTTGCGGAGGAGCTTAATTTTCTTAAAAAAGAAATCTCCCCTCGTCGCTAAAAACCGTCTTAAATTCGTGACCTAAGATTTTATCAGGTTTTTTAATAAAAAGAATGACAAAAAGTTAAATTATCGAGACAAAATGGGCAAACTATTTGGCACGGGGGCTATGAGAACGAGCGAAACGTATCAACCAGGATTTGCGTTTAGATATAATAGCAATTGCTGAGACACAAGGACACGTTTTGGAGAAAATGAGAGTACGAGATTGAAAACATTACTTTTTATACATCAACAGTATCTCCTCCAGCCCCAAATTACATTTCGCTCGGCAAAAGAATCAAGAAATTATAAATTGTTGAAAAAACCGCGTTACATTACGCTACTGTCCCAGATAACTGTCTGCTAAAGCCTCCATTGTGATACGACTCAAGGGAAACGAATTAAGATCCAGATAATGAAGAAATCTGAAAACAAATCAGGTTTACATCAGTGTTAAACTTTCGTAACAGCACTAACTCATACCACTAAGAGCATTAACGATGTTTGGCAGTACTCTCTAAAACTACATAAACAACAGTTACAAACCATTTTTAAACACGCTTTTTACGTAGAATTACGTTATACCAATATTTTTGTGACAGGCTGAGCTCATAACCATTTGAGAACTAGGGAAAAAAGGCAACGTAAAGTTCTGTTAATTTACCTTCTTTTGACGTTAGCGGCTTCTCGGAGCCTTTCTGAGTGACAAAGCAAGCGAAACGTTGGTATGTAATCACTTGCTACACAGCGATGATCGCAGTGGTACAGTGAGGGGATACAGGACAGCACGGAGGTACAGAGCTTTCTTCGGCTCGCTGAGGAACTGAATGATAAAACAAGGCCAATACAATAAATAGAGGGCTTACCAAGTGAGTCTTTAAACCAAGCCAAACTCGAAAATCGCACATGATGTGATACAAGAGACCTTATAAAAATCAACAACAACAACAAATACCAAAAAAGCAGAGAAAAAAGTGAAACGACGTCACAAAGAAAGGAATCAAACAACTGAACAACTGTGCTCCTGTCGACAATCAACTGATAACAAATTAGGGTTGATATTGGGCTGAGGGAGGGGTGGGGGGGGGGAAACCTCTGAAAGCTTAATCTTTTCACTTCCAAGATCTCCTCAGTAATTCTCCTTACTGTGTGCCATACAATTCCTATGATGTTTTCTCTTTAGAGAATTTGGTATTGGATCAACTGATAACTTATTTACTGATATTTTTCTAGGTATACCAGCTGTCCAATCAAGCACCGTAAGTCAAAACCAAAGCAAGTTCAACAGGTCAAAATGAACCAATAACATCTGCAAACAAACGTTTCCTCTCGCTCAGCGCAGGGTTGCTTTTGGCTTTTTCTGTATGAGTAAAGAAATTTTGCCGCGTATCCTACCTTCTTTGTGTGAGCGAGGGTGAAATCAACTGCAACAAAGAACCACAATCACGTGGAGGAAGGTCTTCCGATAATAAGCTAGAATTAAAAAGCTCATTTTCCGAAATATTTGGGCTCTCCTCTTCATCTACATTTTTAACTTCTTTTAAATCGTTAGCCAGACAATTCACTTTGGTGCGACAACTCTCCAAATTAGCCACTTCTGATGCTGCCCGAATGCTTGCTCGTGTATCACGAGCCAACCAATGACTGCACTCCTCTACGGTCACGTGCTCGTCTGTGAGCCCTGGCTTCAGCACAGCTTCCCACCAGCCAAAATCAACAGAGGAAGACTGGGTGTTAGAGACAGAAAGACTTGAGCAGAAGGCATCTAAAAACGACTGGTTTTCTGCAAACTGCGCGAATACATCTAGAGCTTTGGTGCAGCATCTTTCTCCTGAAACGAAAATTAATTAAGCTCACCCTGGTGTATCAAGCAGTTTCCCATTGATATCAGAAAGGTGTCAAGTATCTTGCTCACCCACTCATGGTCCTGAAATAAGCATTTTTCACCCATCGCAAGCCGAGGAAGAACACATTGAAAAGAAAATCATAACGATTGAGGACGAAGTAAAAGCCAAACTTGCCCCTTCAGGATTCAAACTCTGAAACCAATCCGTTGTTTACAGCTTCATATGTTTTTCAATATTTAAGACCTAAGACTCACACTGCTATTTTGTAATAGAAACAGATAAACTCCTCTTACTATGGGAATGCGTTTTACGAACAGGTTTCTTTCCTTTCAAGATAGTTTCTCCACAGATTACAGAGTCCTCTTTAAGCATTTCACCTTCCCCAGCGGCACTAGTACCCTCTTTAGGTTGAGACTCACTAAAGCCTGTGTCTACAGAGTCCTGAGAAGTATTCAACAGCTTTGTCTTTCCATCTTCTGATTCCTTATCTATGGAATGATCTGTTTCCGTGACAACTTCAGTCTCCCCTTTATTGGTAGATTCATCAGTGCCATCGTCAAAAAGACTTCTATCAGAGAATATATTAACACTCTTGAAAACCATTTCCTCTGCAATTGGTTGCTCAACATCAGTTGTCTGGTCTTCAAGTGGAGCCTCTTGTGGATCATGTCTGGTCTGCGGCAATGACGATGATGATTCAGCAAACAGCGGGATGAGGTTACTCAGATTTGTTTGGACCAAATTCAAATCAAGTCCTTGGGTGAAGTGTGTCAGTCGCAGCTTGTCAAAAATGCCATAGTCCTTAGCAAAATAAAAACACACAAAATCATACATCTTAATTGCAAATGAGTTTTGCTGTGGTCTACATCAACCGGCGAAAAAATGAAAAAGAGACCGCTTCATATCAACACTTGATAGAAAAACAAGACAAGAACGTGGCTTTATGGTGGTAAATAAACAGCTTTGACAACAGAATAGAATCTCCTTTTCCCTCCAAGGAAGTTGATGCTCCCACAGAGAAAAAAAAAATATTTTTTTTTCGTATCAACACTTGATAGAAAAACAAGACAAGAACCTGGCTTCATGGTGGTAAATAAACAGCTTTGACAATAGAATAGAATCTCCTTTTCCCTCCAAGGAAGTTGATGCTCCCACAAAGAAAAAGAAAAAAGAAGAAAGGTTTGTTTACCTTAACGTTATCTCCAGATTTCTTTCCCTTTTGCAGAATTGACAACGACCCAACAGTTGGGTCAGCCACGCAATTGAGCATCCCGTGCACACTCTCGAACAGCAAGGAATCCACTGGGGGAAGCTGGCGGGAGGTATCAGCTTTTTCGTTACCAGTGCTGACTGGTTGACTGTCATTTGTGTCTGTGATTTCAAAGACAGAATCTGCTGAGCCTTCGGGACATGACAGTTTTGCCCTCTTGGGCTCAAAGAAATCAGAATCCGAGTTATCACCATAGGCTTGACCAAGAGTTCCTCTCGTGGAAGAGCGCAAGTGGCTTGTAGCTCCTCTGTTCTTGATTGCCTGCCAATCACTTAAGGAAAGAAACAGGCTTTCTTCTCCATCGTCATTTAAAATCCCACCAGTTGCAAGGGGTTCAAACTGATTAACATCTTGAGAAGAAATGCCAGTCTTCAGATTCTCACTGCCACTTTTACAAGTTACAGACGTATGTTGAGGCTTCAGATTGCTTCTGCCAACATCATTTTTAATTGGTTCTAAACTCACTGGTCTTGTGTATGGCATCTTTACTCCCCCTCCTGATCCTGACCAGAATTGCAAATCAAAGAGAGACTTGCGAATGTCACAGTTGTTTTGTACAACCAAACACTTGAGGTCTTCAGGATTGACAAAAATATTGTTTGTCAAAGTTACAAGTTGTAGATGTGCAGCTAAAAGATTCACTGATGGAGATTTCAACTTGACTTGTTCATATCGTCCCTCACAGCTCACTTGTGAGTCTGCAAAAAAAATTAATTAAATGGCAGAATAAATAACTCTTACTATGTCAGCGCTGTAGGTAACAGGAAAAGGTTTTCCCCTTCAAGGCGCAAACCACATGAGCAATAAAAAAAAGCGAAAATTCAGGGCTACAATTCACGATATGGATCAAGAACACAAGGTAGGTAAGAAATTAATCTCCTCTGGGTGTCTGGCTCAATTGGGAAACAACTAACTGTCACATTAAACAGTTTCAAGTAACTGATGCACTTATAAACTAAAAAGGCTAAAAAGGTCAATCTGAAAGCCTTACACACTCGGTTGAATTTTAGCAGGCCGTACATAACAGTACTTAAAAATCAACAACTGCCCAAAATATTTTTCATGTTTATGCATGAATGGGCATTTTATGAAAGTGAACTTTTTTCCATCTCAAACACCCTAACCCAATAATTGTGTGCAAATCTTTCATAGAGAGGAAATACAGACTAGCAATTACCCTTTCTAAACAAAAACAGATCTGCAGGTTAATTTTCCAAAGCTGTGAACCTGCACAAACATATTAATAACTGGCAGGAGATTGTGCTTTGGATTAAACATGTACATACATAAACTATGCAGCCAGCAGTTTAGCAAGGAGGTAATTGTTACAGGAGATTAGGAAAAATAATGATTACTGCTTTGCATTTCAGGATTTTTGAATTACAATATTTGGGAAACAAACCAACACACAAACAAAACAAGAGAACATCTACTAGTGATTTATTATTATTAATGGTTCCTGACCATATTAGGTTTTCTTACCTGTGCTTATCAAAACAATGGGACACTTAGCATTCTGCATGAAGGAGTTTACAGCCATCCAGAAACTCTTGTCTTCTTCAAAAATAACATCAACCTGGACAAGTAATGACGTAACAGCAAATATATTAGTAGCTATACAAATACACATTTGTGCTCATAGGACATGTGGTAAAATAGGGGCTCGTGATAATGACAATGATAATGATGATAATGATCAGGAGGGCTAGAGAGAGAAGGAGAAAGGAGAGGAGGTATGGAACAAGTCTTGAAGGAAGATGACCACAGGGTCTTCAGTCAAGTCCTCTAATTTACAATCTAAGAAGCTGAAATAAAAATAGAATTAACAAATTTTGTTCTTTAAGAAAAAAAAAATGATCAGACAATGAACAAACCTCTTCAAACAAAATCAGAGAGGCAGCTTTTGAAGACAAATTTGAACATGATTCACTGTCATCTTTAATTTGTTGTGATGGCTGCTTGAGAATGGATTTGCCTTTCCCTTTGGATTCCACTTTCTTCTTCTCTTTCATGGCCCCGTCTTTCTTTCTTTTCCCATTCTTGCTGGCTTTGGTTTCAGACACACTTGTATTCTTCTGCAAAAAGGCACTCAGGGGACCAGTGGAGGGGGGAGAACTGTTTACAGGTTTATCAAAGAGGCCTGCAAAGGAAGACTGAGGGGCAGGACCCTTGTTGTTGATCACAAGGTGTGACTGAGTAGCTTCTTCAAGCTGTGACATGATCTGCTTGCCAGAACGCTTGGAGGAACTGTTGACTTCAAATACCTAAAGTTTTACAAATTTCAAAAGTTACCCACAATACCAGAAACAGTCACTATTTCCTCATGCACATTAAGCAAATGGAACAAATACTGTCCATGAACCATTATTTCACTCAAGATGTTTTTGCTTAATTTCATGTCATTTTTTCAGATGTGGTATGACTCTCTGGAGACTCTCTCCTTGTAGGATAACAGTGTCACTGCAGTGGGGTGATTTGGCTGTCCCAATAACCCCTAAGACTACACTACTTAGATTTTCATACTCCCTGACAGGGTCGCAGTCTATCAAAGGCACCTAAACTGGCTTAGCATGAACAACTACACCATATAAATACCATGGTAACCTACAGTCTTTCAAAAAAATTCTCTAATACAGTAGATGGTTTGAGCCTAGGAATAAAATTTAATTGTGTGATCTGATGGTTCAAGTGAGAGTAGTCCTGAGAGGACTCACCCCTGAATCACTTATTAAGGCCACAAGAATAAAGGAAATGATCACCAACTAAACAGGCTCTTGATTGTTAAACAAATTCTCCTTGCCAATACCATAGGAAATGTCTAAAAAACAGTATGGAGAACATGCTTAGACTGATGTTAGGGATTAAAGGCTTAAGGCAATTAATACCTTGTAACCCAGTTCCTCTGCACATGCATACACCATGGCTGTTTTCCCAACTCCTGTGGGACCAGAGATAAACATGGCAGTATTTAAACCACCTTCCTCTGTGTCACTATCATCTGAAGCATGGTCACTCATTTGGAAGTCAGAGTCACTGTCTGCATCCCACCGCTCCAGAGAGTGGCTGGAGCCTTGGCTGTGGCTTGACTGCTTGCCTTTCTGTTTTGCTAGAAGTCTATAAAATCAGAACCAGACTCAGCAAAATTCAACTGGCTACAAAAAGAATGCTACTGCTGACGAGAAGGTGGTGTTGTACTTTAGTGAGTTGATCTGTAGTCAGCCTTTCCCTCTTATGATCCAACAATCAATTCTCTGTACTGTCTGCTATACATTTCTAACAATTTGAGCTCTGAGAGTTTGTTATTTCATGGAATCCTCTGATTGATATGTTCGTATCTTATCACAGCATTTCTGCTTGAAAATCTAATAATGTTGCAAGGAGAATTTTTTCCTTAGTTTGAAATATTTTTTAATTACTTTTGTCATTGTTTCAGATTGTGATGATGAATACATGACAAAGGAAAAAGAGATCAATTAAATATAATACATTATACGATACCTTTTCTGTTGCTGTAGTTCTTTCCTCAGAGTTTTTTCTCTCTTGATTTTCCACTCTTGCAGCCAGGATCGCAGTTTGCTGACAGAAGAAGCATTTGCCATGACTTCGGTGGAGTGCAGTGGTCGATACAACTCTGTCCACAATGCATCATTGACAAAAGTCTCCACATTACTTGCACAACTGTTGGGAACAACAGGTATCTCTACAGCCTTGTTGAATTGTGTGGAAGGTTCTGACATTTCTTTTCCACCATCTTGATAATCACCTGTTCTCTTTCTCTTCTTTCTGTTTGAGGTAGTTTCTGGTATCTCCAAATTATCGTTTAGAGTGTCAGACTCCAAGGTTGTCTTCTTTCTTCGGATTCTTAAGGATAACCTTCGTCCCTTGATGACCTCCACCTGATATTGGTCACCATCATCTTCTCTTCTTCTTTTCTGGCGTGGCTTCTCCACAGGCTGGTTGGTTGCAGGACCTTGTGTCTCTTCTGATACTAATAAATCATCCTTTTTCCTTGCAATCTCTTTCTCCAGGCTTCTTTCCCCATCACAAGACAATTGCTGCTTTCCTTTTCCCCTTTTGTTACATAAACTATATGCAACAATGTTACCTTTCCCATCTTTGTCTCCTAATGAATCCACTCTGCTCTTCACTCTCTCATCTGGCTTTTTCTCAGGCACAGTTTGTTCAAGGTCTGCAACAGTACTATTTACTCTGTACTTTTGCAGTTTTGATGAATATCGTTTGTAAAGTTTCCTTAAGGGTATGCCAGGGTAAAACAAAGCTAGCTCTGAGACAATACTCTTTGTGATAACCTCTGAGAAACTTTTGGTTGTTGTTTTAGGTTCCTGTCAATATTTTGTCATGGAAGAAAATAAAACAAAAATTAAACAGGGTAATTTAGTATTATAAACTGAGTTGATAACATAAATTGGCCACCATAAAGAGTTTACAAGCTGACATTTTGAGCATATGACCTTTGTCTATTGCTCTGATAAAGTGCTAAGAAACTTACCCCCTTTTACAAATTAACCACATTATGACAGACTGAGAAAAATTTTATTTCATTTTGCATATTACACAACCAAAAGAATGATTCTGTCAGCTTTCAATGACAATGTGTGTTTCCAGAAAATATCCATACCCCCACCACGGAGGGAATTGGAAA